CCCCAAAACCCCAAAACCCCAAAACCCCAAAACCCCAAAACCCCAAAACCCCGGGTTATAAACTTTTTGTTGATAATTTTTGGAAGAAGTGTAAAGACAACCTAGAATTTTAATACTTCACACTATTTCAAAAGTATCAACAAAATTTGATTTTTTGGAAATTATGGGTATTTTGAAAAATATTGGTGAAATCTGAGGAAATTAGTGATCTACTTGAAGGTTTTAGTGGTTGTAGTAGGAGGGTAGAAGAGGAATAGGAGGGGTGTTTGGGAGATTATAAGTCGATTTTGACCTTTTTGGTCGGATTTTGGTAAGTTTACTACTTTGAATGGGTGCTTTTGGGAACAGAAAGTGAGCAGAAGTGGTTTTGACAGTGAGAGAGGATATTTTAGGGCTATAAAAGATAGTGTATGGTGATTCTTGTGAGAATGGGAGAGTTGGTAGCACAATTAATGCAATAAAAAATTTTGGAGTTTCATATTTGCGAAGATTTTACCTTGCTTATGAGATATATTTCTACTAGCTCTCACAAGTCAACTAATATCGAGTCCTCATGAATGCTTCTGTAGCAAGCACAAAAATAACAACCCAGTAAGAGTCGGCAAACAGCCAGCCCCTATTCTAATTTGCAATTTTGTAAAATAGAGCAGTTTCATTAACTTTCCTATCAGAAATAGTTTTCTAGACTCAATAGCTCGTCAGTGATGATGTCTGACCTCCTTATCCCAGACTAAGACAGGCTATCATAAGGAGTCTAGTAAATCCTTAGAGTGTTGCTTTAGCAACAAGAGATACCATAGGGATTATTTTTTCAAAATTTTTGCTCTGGCTTCTTCCTAAACAATAATAACTTTCATAAGTTTCGTTATAAATCGTCTTTCAATCTTGAAGAAATTATCCGACTATTGATAATATGACATGCATGGAGAAATAGATCACACTACGATGGTTAGTTAGCTTAAAGCTAACTTTGCAAGGAATTCTCTTGAGAATCTTCAGAGATAAATTGGCTTTGTTTAGTGTATTGATTGTTGAACAGCTTAATATTCTTTCTGAGGCTATCTTCTTATTTTATGTATTTTTAGTTTATTATTAAAACTCATCCTTTTCTTCTGTTTGGATTAGGTTTCGATAACAAGGGATAGGAATCGCTTAAATAAGGTCAAACTTATATCGAGAAGTCAATACTTTGGCTTTTTAGAAAATTTCAGGTTCATCATTTTTGAATTTGGGTTACTCCTTTTGCACACTTCGTGTATCACCAAAACTAAAATTAGTGTTGATAAGGCAGATGTTTATGATGATTTCTGTATGTCAAGTCCGAGACCTGACTTGGGGTTCTCTGATCGTATTAGAGTCAACTGATCTTATAAAACAAGTTTTGGTCCGGTGGATCACTGTTTCATTTTCAACTAATTTGAAAGCCTAACCATTGAGATCTCCGATAGTCTCGAGAATAATCTTAACAGTGCGAAATTTACTAGGGGGTGTACTAAGACCCCAGCAAGCCTACAATATGAGGCATATCTGAGCCTGTAGATCTTCTGGATGTTTTCTACATCTGACAGGCAGTATAGCGAGCCTATTAGGCACCCTGAGTGATTGTTATGTACTTGACACTCTCTTTTGCCTAAATTAAATAAATAATATTAAAATATAACTGTTATTTCCAAGCTGTAGAGATAGAGTTGGGGTTTTGGGGTTTTGGGGTTTTGGGGTTTTGGGG